TTTTTTTCATAAACTAAAACCAGACTAAAACCAGCCAGTGCATATCTCAGCAGATTACAAACTCCAACAAAAGCTATTCTGAAAGAACACATAGGCTTCTTATTAAGATTTTTTTTAATTGCGTGCAGACGGAGTAGCGGGCGACAGCTAGTGATCATATAATTCTTACTAAAACTAATACGTTTGGAATTAACGATGAATGAATTGGGAGCACCAATACATTAACAATTATTAAGTGTTGTTTACAAAGCCTTGTAAACAAAGATTTAGAATCTAACTGTACGATTAAACATCTAAATATATTGTCAGGTTCATAAAGTGTTACAAATTACTCGCGCACTCCAGAAATAATTTAACTGCGTTATTCCTGAATATCTCAATGACCCAGTAATAGAGGCAATTTGAAGGCAAAACACGCGTCCAAGTCATTCGTTGCTCGCTTATTAGACTAATATAATTTACATTGTATAGTATACGTATGGTTTTATTATATTAATACGTTTATTATCAAGTTATATTCAAATTAGGTCTTTGTCGCATAACTGGTTCTCGAGACTTCTGTTATCATTTGCCGATGTACATACTAAATAAAATTATACGGTGCTTTAATTTAGATCCATAGGTCTAATTTACGTGAAAGTTATAATTATTCTCTGGTATTTAATTATTAAATGTAACTTCAGTTACACAAAATCAGTAAATTGTACAGAAATAGTCGTTATTTCTTGCTTTCATTTAATTTTAAATTGCCATTGAATCTGATAAACAGCTTATGTATAAGGTCAACGTTTCAACAACAAAAAGCTTTTAGTAAATTCAATGAAATAAAGCAATTTAAAAAGTTTAAAGTAACATGCATTGTAATTGTACAAATTGTAAAAGTAAATACGTGTAATAAAAATAAAATAAAACAAGTTGTTTCGATGTACATAAAATCATTATACTTGTTAGTCTACATTTTTATTAGATTTATATTTACTTAAGTATATAATACAAAGTATGTACTTAACAAGAACATTATTCTACGTCGCTTCCAGTAACAATGACGCCGCCTCCTAGAATTAACATTTTGAAGATTTATTACTGTGCTCCTATATTTCTTATTACATATAGTTAGGTATTATTTCATATTTTATAATTGAAACGATAAAAGATATTTTTTTTTAATAATTGTACCAAAATTATAATAATATTCCCCCTTTTATTTTATTATTACCATCGCTATTTTAAAAGGTAATCTTTCAAAATTGTCGCACTCAAAAACACTACTAAAGTAAAGTTAATGAAACGGCAGAGTATTGAAGACGAGGCAACCGAATTCTAAGCCGCTTATTTCTCAAGATATTCGATCATCCTTGTCGTAAATGTCGATTTTACATCCACATATATCAAGTCAATCTCCGTGCTACGAAAATATGACGCAATTCCCTTATCGAAAATGATATCAGTACGCATTCAGAGCTTACGTTTCTAAGGCGCAAGCCGCGAGGGCCTCGGGCAACGACTGTAGGGAGGCAAAGATGCATTCTTCCAGAATTGTGATTTCTTACACGCTCATACCAATAAAGCGTATCGTAAACACATATCGTATCTCTTTTCATCCCTTTTTGTATCGCAAACCACAAGTTAAGATTAAGAATTAAGTTCTCACGTTGTTTTTTTATTTTGAAAACGAAACTTTTGTACTGATCATTCATAACAATGTAGGTAGGTATAATAAATATCTCCTTTTTTGGTAATCATATAAAGGCATTAAATATTATTACAAGGTTTAATATTAATGTTGTTTTACCGACAAAAGGGTGGCAGAAATATCATTAAGAACTTTAATTTGTTAATATACGTTTTTTAAATAAGTAAATGATGTAAAAACTGCACACAGAATGTTTTTTATTTCTTTTATTCGCAGCAAAAATGTATGGTTTCAACTTATTAAGAAGCTCAAGTCGCAGTGAGATTTTATTGCCACTGTCAAGAAGTAGCTTATCCTTTAAATTTACTATACGTCGTAGTGTTAGTACGGCAGACAATGGGATCGTATTTTTCTATTTTATTTTACATGCCCATACAAGCTTTGTTAAAGACTACAGACTCGTAAAACAATTTGGGCTGTAGGAATATTTTTATTACATGCTGAGGTCAAAAGATTAGGTACTTAACTTTAATATATTAAGGAATTTTATGTTTGCCTTATTTATTCTCAGAACTTGTTTTTGATATTTTTTTCTTCTATGACATTACCGTTAAAGTTTTTTTTAATCCTGTCAAATTTCGTATTAATTTGGTTAGCAAAACTTAATCTAACATTTACCTTCATTAATACTTAATATTTAAAATGTATGATGATAATAAAATAATTTTACATTAATATTAGTATTGATTAATATGGATTACTCGTGTCCAGGTGGCTGCGTTGTGGGCGTCCAATGTATCCGCGTTCATTGGTCCGCAGGAGACGTGCGTGCATGAGGGCCGCATGGCCGCCGCCTTCAACCTTCCCATGGTCAGCTACGTAAGTGTTGCGTAACACCATCCACTTATGAATCACGAACCACTTTGATACGTAAAAAATGTTTGGGAATACAGGTTTTGTTATTTTTTTATTCGAAGGTGTTTTCCTTAATAAAGCCTACATTATAATTTTTGAGTTCAAGTATATCCTAATTAATGATACTGTGTTAAAGAAAAAACTACACAAGAGAAAAAAGGTGAATAGATAAAGTTAACGGTTGTTTCCCGTTGGGCCAACAATTCCCATTGGACCGATTGGGCCAACGGGAAACACCCAAGGTAACTTTATTGAGTATATCCCGATACCTTGAAGTTATGCAAAAAAAATTAAGCATTTAGAAGTAAAATATGTGCAGATATAATATGAAGTGAGCTTTGTCAAATTACGTGACTTTGCATAAAAGAGGAGACGAAGTAGGTCGAATTAGTCACTGGAGAGGACGTCAGAGGACAAAGTAGACAACATTCCTTGAATGTATATAATTACCTTCATTAGTACCGCAACAATGGCAAAAATTCAACACGCGTTTATCATTTATCAGATTGTATCTGGAGGACATCAGCGAACCGTTCAATTGATATACAATAGTTTAGCTTTATTGCGATTTTATCATCTTAATATCATGATTTCTAGAAGCTGTGTGCCAATTTCTCCATCGCTTGAACAAAATCCAATGCTGGCGTGGAATCGTGCCAGGCACGTTTGTACAGATAACAGGTTGTTTGAATGCTACAGACGATTAGGGGGCAGGTGAAAGTGGTGTTTTTGTACATTAAATTAACAAGACATCACCTAAGAGTTGAATACTGAATAGATCAAAGCCTTAAATTTCGTAAAATTAAATGTTGAATCATAAAAACTCTGTTGTTTGGCTAACAAAATATTTATAGTTAATTATTGAGATGTCTTCTCTATCGCTTTTATTATAATCCTAAACAAAGACAGTGCACAATTTTTATACCCTATTGTAATTCATAAAAATGATTTTTGGTTAGTAAAGTCATTTGAAGCTGTAGTTACAATATAAATAAATCAGACGCTGTGATACCTGACATCAAATATATAACATGTATTTTACGTAGTATTGTTGCATAAAAGTGACCAACCCTAAAGATGGTTCTTAGCTTTTTTATTTTTTATATCTTCTGATATGCAAGCTTATCTCATAGATTATTTTCTTAATCAGATGAAATACAACATGAAATGTATGAGATTAACGTCTTGCATGCATAAGTAATAAGTCGCACGTACGCGTGATATATTGCGCAATTCATGTCATGCAGAGACAAAAGATCTGATAGATTACTATATACGTATATACACAGTGTTTTACATAAACTATCCTTTATACCAAAACCTATATCTATGCTATATATAATGAATACTGTTAGGTTGATCACGACAGTGAAGTAAATTGCTTGTGTCAATCTCATCCAATATTTTCAAGACACTTCAAGGCTTATGCAAATTTCAACCTCCTTCTTATCTTTCGTTTGATTGTCTTCTGTTAACTACACGTTATAAAATGCCAGTAGCTTTTAACAAAAACTACAAAAGAACAATCTTATTTGCACACAAGAAAAGTCTTTAACTCAACAGTGTCGACTGAAGGACAACCGTTTAGTCTTTCGGCACGGGTTTTGGAGGGTTTAGTACTAAAGTGACACAGTTAGTTATGAAGTGGAATTTCAATTCGTTCCTTTTTTGTGTCCTAAAGTCCTAAAGATAGGTTAGTCTTATCGTTTCTTAATGTTGGAGCGTCAAGTAGGCGGCAGCAACAACAGTTACAAGTTGTCAAACTTTCTTAAAAGTGTTATTTATATATTGATCTAGCGTTTTTTGTGGTATTAACGATTTTAGTATGTTTGTAGTTCTGTCGCGATGTGGCGAGCTTCACACACAAGCGGGACTACGCAACGTTCGCGCGCACCCGGCCTTCCGACATAGACATCTCGCGCGCCGTCGTCGCAGCCCTCACGCACTTCCAATTCATGCATGTAAAATATTTTATTACATCTTTTTACATATTAGAGTATACTAAAACTTCTGTTCCACTAAATGCTTAGCCGAGATTGTTATCTACAACGGCGAATTTCCTACAGTACATAGGTATGCAGAAGAAATAGAAGCCGTGATTTTACCTATTCCAAAAACGTTAGGTGATAACTATCTTTTGTTTTTATTGTTTCTAATTTGCGTGTGGTTTTTATCTACTATATATTAAACTGATTGTAATTTCTACAGATTTGTGTCGTGTACCTATGTGCTCCAAACCATGACTACACTCGACTCGCGAAGGCTATCATAAAGGCAGCTAAGGATAGACAGATAACAGTACTATCAGCGAGAGCGTACAATCAGCCGTATTTCTACGAGAATATTAAAGAAAACGTCACCCGCAATCCTTTTATAGACGTTGTTAGAGAAACTTACAAAACTACAAGAAGTAAGTGACACTGATTAATCTTACTAATATTATAAATACGAATGTTTAAATGGAAGAATGTTTGTTTGAAGGTATCTCGAGAAACGGATCTCGATGAAATCTGGCATAGATATAAAACATAATCTGGGATAACACATAGGCTACTTTTTACATTTATAATTCTTGAGGACGGAGTCTGGGCGACAGCTATTGATAATATAAGTCACGGTTTTACATTTTGACTGCTTATTTGTGTTTAGTCTAATCTGACTGTTTTTAATACATTTTATGATATTGTTACTGTTGTATCCAGTTACTTTATTATAAAAATAAATGAAAACTTCTTTTTTATTTCTTACAATATTCACAAATATACAATTAATTAGTTTTGTTTACACCATTTTGTAATTAGTTTAAAATAATATTATATTGGCATTTTCGTACAGTTGACCTTGGTAAATTAAGGAAGAGATTGAATTTACTTACTAAAATAAATAACACAATCTATATCTCTTACAAAATAAAGTTGCTTTTCGTGATTGTTGTAATTAAATTGTTGGAAATAAATTCAAATAACAGATTGAATTTCGTTAACTATAATTGTCACATTTTTCATGTTATGTATTATTTATTTAACTTTTTATAATATTTACAGTAGTATATTTTATGTCTTAAATTTAATTATCTTATTTATGTATTTTTATGTTTCTCAGTTTACGTGTCTGTGGGTCTCTACCACGATCACATCGGACTTATGCTGGCCCTGGATTCTTTCAAACTATTAGATTCAGGTGAATATGACTTAAACGTAACTATAGTGATAACATTACCTATAGTATCCAATGACTCATGTTAATAATGAAATAAGTCTTACAACGTAAATAATTTAACACAATTTACTCAATTAAAAAAATACTGGCAGTTTTTATGCTCTAACTTTTTATCTTTAATTATATTCTTATTATTTGTCTGTTCATATTTTCGAAGGTTTTTCGATTATTTTTAATTAAAAATACCAATTAGTCATTCCGTTTTAAATTATACTTAAAATTATTATTCATAATATCAACATTTTATATACAAACATTTTATAATACAAAGTTTATTTTAGTTAACGCTAAACTCCCACGGGAGCTGTCTTTGATTCATTGTAATTGAATTTCTAGACGATAAAATCTGCTTATCTTTTAACTTTGAAGATTTGAAAACTAAGTCTACAATTTAATGTGGAAAGTTTCCAGTTACGAAAGAACTGAATAGCAATACGTACTACTGAAAAATAACACAAACATATATCTATAATATATGTTATTAGTATTTACTGAATATAGCCAACTAGCTTATGGTATTAGAAAATACGATTACAATTTAATACTAAGATCTAATAAATTCCACAAAATATCCCCTTTTTTTAATAATAAGACGCATTATTGCCGAAGAAGTTAATCAGTACTTCCACGACTCATCATCAGTTTACTACACGTCCCCACCGAGGGGCTCGGAGCCTACCCTAAGTTACGGGTGACTAGGCCATAATCAACCACGCTGGCCAAGTGCGGGTTGGTTGACTTCACACATATCTTTGAATTTCTTCTCAGATATGTGCAGGTTGCATCACGATGTTTTCCTTCACCGTAAGAATGTCGGATAAATGTACATATGTAAATCAGAAATCGAAAAACACATTGGTACATGGCGGGATTCGAACCCAGGACCTGCAATCTGCAATTGCAAGTCAAGTGCTTGACCCCTGAGCCACCGACTCCTACCATAAATGTACAAAATTGAAAAAAAATGAATTAATGCATTTTACAATTATCGTAAAAGTCTTACCTTTATGTAAACAGGCTGTAAAAGTAACGGCATTTAAAGTGTTATGCGCCATACAATAGCAGATGGTGTTATGAATGAGAAGTAGCACAAATCGTCCGCAGAAAAGCAATATAGTGCGATGAATTGTTGGTACACAGTACGTTCTTGCGATGTTTGATATATTGTGTCGGGGTTAAAGAAACATGTTATGAATTTTTAACATTTCTGTATTCTTAATATAGCTATAAAAATATTTTTAATAAAAAGTGTTATAAAATTAATAAACACAAATAACTTAAAAAAATCACGATTCCAGTGATTATTGAAGAATGCACATTCAGGATGCGTTTTATTGTGAATAAAATTAAATCAAACGATCTGTTGTCATGACCTAATTTAACTTTTTAATATTACAAGTATCGTACTACTTTATTTAGGAATTCTGTCTCAGTCTCGTTAAATAACTACATTATTTGTAATGTTTTACATGAAAGTTGAATATAAAAATAAAACACACCTTTAATCATAAGAAATTATATTTTTATTAGCATATTTTAAGATACGAGTACATTATAGTACAAGTAGAGTAGTACAAGACGCAATGCTGATGTAAAAATCTTTAAATCTCTTTAATCAGTCAAATCTTACACTGTCTAAATCTTTTTATACGCAAACAGAATGATAATGTTATCCTTTTATATCTTAGACCTTGACTGTATTATTCCAATAATAGTTAGTTTATTTAAATATTCGTTTTAACCTTTTGACAGCCGCTAATTGATATTTATGCACGTCATCAATGCTGCTTCCGGTATAAGGATTTTGTTATTTGTAAAGTTCACATTTCGTAAGCTTACGCATTATCATATTTCAATAATCATGATTTCTGGTAAAACCTACTCAGTTTCAGTTTTAACAGCAAAGTTAAACCTTCTCATCAAAAACTTGTCCAACAATTTACGTCATTGTCAATAGGTATATACAGTCGAGGACATTTATTTTCTACACATTTTGTTGAAATGTCAATTCTCTTGTATCTTATTCACAGTTAGGTCGAAACTTTGTTATACACGTGCCAAAATATAACTCTTATAACGACATATTACTACACTATGTTAGATTCTAAGTGGGAAGCGAATTAAATTCCTTGACCTTTGAATTACAATGTAAAATATAGGTCACTACCAAGCTTACATAGTGATATGAAGTAGAGTGTTGACAGGTGAGTACGCGGCAATCGGTGTAGACGTGGACAAGTACGAAGCTGAGGAAGCCATCCGCTATCTCTCTGGGCCTCTGCGCAATGAACCATCTTCAAGAACCCTACATGCATTTCGTTCATACCTTGCCGTGGCTCCGTCGCCTTCGCCGTCGTACCCTGCCTTCGCGAGGGAAGTTAACACGAGACTCCAACTACCACCGTTTAACTTCACAAATCCATTACTGAAATTGGGAGGTGGGAAAGTGGTAAGATTTTCTATTAATTAAGTATATGTACTATTCCAGTTTATGTTTATTTTTATTCATACTGTCATGAATAATTAAAAACCCGGGGAAGTAAAAAAAACAAAATTGACGCGCTTTTAATTGTTTTGTTTCTAAGTAGGACAGAAAAGTGCCTAGAATTTTTGTGAAGCGAAAAAAGTTTATAAGATTAAAAAAGGTCTTAGTATGTTAAAGGCAATATTAGCAATACGCTTGAAAATAGCCGATACATATGCGCATAATCACATTCTTTGTACGTCCTCTTTGTTCAACAGCCGCTTGTAGCGTAATGTTATCCGACATATAACAACACTACTTATTGTCTCTAGAATTAAATCCAGAACATAATATGTTATATGTTTCCGACACTTTGATTTCTTAAAATAATTATTTATCTAATCTGTTTAAAATTGTGGAAATAATTAATAATGTTTTGTTTTCGTGCACTAATTTGTACATATAAATTAGTTTTTGTAACAAAAATATACCAAAATTTTTCCATGAAACTAAAACCTGCATAAAACTGCAGGAATTAGTACTTTGCATATTCAGCTCGCTTGCACTTTTGTTTTCAGATAAAACGTAACTCTGCTACTTACTATTTTTGCATACTTACTTTTCATGGCTTTTTTGTTACTATGGCCTTAGCTTCATATTTAGATATAATCATGAATTTACATACATATATTATGTACTGCACTGTAAAAGAGTTTACTTTTTTTATAAAATAATCTGCGTAGAAATATAATAAATATTCTTACCATGTTATGTAAACATTTAAATATGTATAATATATATAATATCTCATTTAAATATGATTACAACAGATTCGTGTAGAAGCAGCGTGGCTCCACGACGCCGTGTGGGTGTACGCGCGGGCGCTCGCCACCGCTCTTAGCATTGGAGAGGACCCGCGGGACGGCAGAGCTTTGGTGCAGTACATTAGGAACACCACCTACCGCAGCGTCATGGGGTAAGTTAATACACATTTATTAACTAACTATTAAATACTTTAGAACCTGTAAAAACTACTAACTACTTAAAACGCTTTGTAAATAGATGCTGAAAAACATTTACGATAGAAATCATTTTTGAGATGAACGCAAAAATTATAAGATATTTATCATGTGTTTACCTAATCTTGTCTAATAGTTGGATTCGTTGAATCGTGAAATTAGCGAAATTAGATAATCCTACGACCGGAACAACAAGACCTGTTAGTTTAATATCGTAGGTTATGACAGTCACTATCCGACTCGAAGGACCAATAAAAAGAAATTGTCGTGGACGGTGTCGACTATAAACACAAGTTGTGAACTATCGCAATTTTCACCGTGGCTTCGTAATAAGTGTGGACGATGTAATTGTGAATGCTGACTGCGTACAACAAAACTATGCTACGAGCACATTTTGGACATTGCTCCGTCGTACTTGCGATGCAGCAAGCATGCAAATTGTTTTAAAAAAATCTTCCGGGCATTGTCCGCGCCGCGTGCTATTTCTCCAGGCGTTACACTAATAGCTTTTATAGTTATTCTGTTCTATTATTATCTAACTGATGGCTGATGTCAGTGAAAATAGTTATACGAGTTTTTTTGGAAGCAAAAGTCGCACCAAACGACTTTTCGGCGAATTTCAGAAATAATAATATTTTAGTATAATTTACGTTACTGGGATATATTATTGTTAAAATAATAATATAAAGAATAATAATGGAGATAAAATGAAAGTGAAAAACAACCCAAACAGCTACTAGTTTATTTTTTGTTATATATTCACTAATATTACTAAAATGAATCAACCCATAACTCATATTTGTTTTACCAAACTTCTGTGTATGAAATTTATAACATATCTCATCCTAACCACAACTTCAATAGATGTTCTTTGTCTTTTATAGCCGACGGGCTTTGCGTCACAAACTTTGGGACGTACGGTCTTGTTTATTCTAACCGATCCTGACACTAGGCTGAAACTAGGCTGACAACCCTTTATACTGTTTACGTCCTTATACGAATATTATATACATTTCATAATAATGTCGTAATTAACAGTGGTAGAGCCCGTAACAATAACATCTATTGCGCGAATGGGCCGGCTAGAGCGGTGAAATACCACAACCAAACAGAAGACACACACATACGATCATGTGAAGGGGAAGTGCTTTCACGTTTTGTCTTCCATGTCTTTTCCTTCCCGCCATACTCTTGTAAAGAAAGGTAGAGAAGGGGGCATGGATTTGGCAGAGGACGGGACGCATAGTAAGAAGATACATCCTCGTTCTTTGCGTATATTTATGTATTGTCTCTAATAATTCTTAATTTGTCTTTGTCGATATAAGATATTGGGTGCATATGGATGAGAATGGTGACGCTGAGGGTAACTACACATTGCTATCAATGGACCCCGACAGACCGCCAGGACTCTACCCGCTTGCAGTCATGCACAAGAACGCACCGGTAATTATAAAACTAATTATTAATTAATTAATCTTTATTATTGTTCCTCAGGTATTACAGTTGTCCATTGATGTCGTTGATCAACTCAGTGTAACTGCGTTATTTGACCCTATCTCTTATAAAAAACGAGCCATCACAGATTTGCCTTATTTACATACATATGCTTTTGCTTATTTATCATCACTTTACCATTCAGTATTTCGGTATTGTAGTACGATTTCGTGAACAAAGACAATGAAAATCAAAACACAGTTGCAACAACTCAACTCGTATCAATATTTACGAAGCCGCCGTTATATGAGTTTATCCTGTTAACAGATCAAAACGTAAATGTTACAAATATTTGCTAATTTATAAATAACCTAAACACAATCCTGCTCCAGTAGCGCTCTGTCCAATCTGGCATGAATTTAAATACCTCTACAAAATATTTCACTTGAACTACTTCGGCCTAGCTGCTGTCAACTAACTGCCAAGAAAATTGACTCGTTATTTGTAAATAACGATAACATTCACTATTTACGATACGAAATATAGAATTCAACGGGATACATTAATTATATTTTATTTTGTAGGACATCGTATTTACATTTGATGATGAAAAAATGTGTTTCTATAAATTGTCATACAAAGACAGTTCGGAAACAAATTGCTTGTTATATTTAAAATATCATAGCAATATTTCTTTTGATATTCAAATATCGTGGCCGAAACGAACAGGAATCTAATATTAGTTTTATAATAAAATAAGAGGAAAAGTTTTAAAGAGGGTAACATTCCTTTCTAGAACATTCTGAGAATTTCAAATAAAGAAAATGGTTTTCTTCGTAACCGAGTATTTATACGACATTGGATTAAATATATTACATTAAAATTGGCATTGTAATTATAATATGATTTGGAAAAGTTTAACGATGTCGTACCTTCTTATAACTCTTAAGCGAATTCAATATTTGAAAATAAAACATAAAGGAAGGTTCCTACATTATGTACGAATCGATGAAGTGTATATAAAAAAGTTCTTCGATTGTTTTCCTTTTTATACTATGTATATAACACGTATAGACGATTTATTTCAATAAACACATTTTTTTACATTTTGGTGTCAACATTTACAATGTATTCAATTGTGTTCAGGAATTGAGATTCATGCGGGAAATGAAATGGCCGGGCGGTCGGCTGCCTCTCTCCGAGCCGCCGTGCGGATTTAAGGGAGAAAAGTGCGTTAGTAAGTATAACATTGTTATGTTAATACACATCAAGGATACGCGCAAAATACCCACAGCGATCGTGAGTGGCGTTTTCGCTTTAGCCTTAATAGCTTACATGTGCGGTCCATTACTTAAGGTCGGTGATTTTGTTCGCTGTTGTGGTAAAAAACTAATAGTGTACAGTCGGGGTCGACATTAACCGCAAGGCCGAGTGGGGCGGGTCCTGTGGACGTCATGAGGGCATCGCACGCGACTCCCGCGGCGCCCTACACCACACATGGATAACGTTTCAGACTACACTTAGCTTTCTCTTTACTGCTAATCGTAAAACAAGCTCACAGTTGTCTCTATATTGTGATATATTTTGTTAAAAGGAACATTTCTTTACATTTTCCTTAAGGGATTTCAATTCATTCTATTTATATCTTAATAGTGTTTTGCAAGAAGAATAAATTCATGAAACGAGAGGAGATAAATACGAGTAGTAATGCTTCTAAAAGTTATCTTACTTATGTTTATTTAGCTCAAACATTGTAATGTTACTTTAGCTTCGACTAAAAATACTTAATACCACGAATCCGTTAGCATATTACGGCGGCTGTAAAAAAAATCTATTACGTTATATCCTTTATCTTTTAACGTTACATAATCTGACAAATTGTATAATCTTGAAAGGGTGAGCGTGTCATTTCAGAAGTTACGACTCTATAAAATATACAGCACCGGTTTATAATTTTTGATGTCGGCTCATATCATCTTTATAGATGAATACATACTTAAAATTTTAATAATGTTATCAATATAACACATTAGTGTTAGAAAAAAGTGTTCCAGTTACTATTTATGAGGCTAATCAATTTGCTAGTAAATATAGGAACTAAAAAACAATTTCATAAAACAAACAAAAGGAATTGAATTTATTTAGTAAATATTTTATGATATGTTCTATCCGCCTAATTATATTTTCTTATGATGTTTTAGTGGACTATTACGACAAAATTTATTGGAACATGAATTACGTTTTAGCTACCACTTTGTTGTGGTCAATTTTTTTTTTTAAATTACGAACATTATAATTTTAGGATGGAAAGTGGGACACAAGATGTATTTAGTTATATGTTGTTATTTTCTTTGATATGTGGCATGTTCCAATTAGAATCATTAATTTTATATCAAACACGAATCTCGGATAATAATTTCGTATTTTTATTTTTTTTTTATTCTTTGGCCACATCTCGAGTACTTTTGAGAATTTTACGTACGTAGATAAAAAGTGTACAAAAGTCTAAAAAAGTGTGAAAAAAAGTCAAGAATATCTTCTATATCCTTGTAAGTATCATAAAGCAACTTAATACATAACTTAATTATCTCTCTTTTACTCCCATTTATATTTTCTTGATTTGATCATGATGAAAACATCAATTTATTTTTATAAATCATTTTTATGTACAGTTGCTCAGAACCTATAAACAGGTTGTCGGCTTCCTACGAAAATACCGAAACAAATTGTATCGATGTTTCAAATTGAGTTAGACCAAATCGAATTCAATTTGTTTGCGAAAAGATCTAGGCTTTCGTGCTCACCGCTCAAAACTCACTTTATGCATCAAGAATTTTCGAAATTACATTTCTTATACATAATCTTGACAATCGTATGGTTTTTTTTATCAAAAAAAATATCCATTCTTTTAAATAAGTAAAATAATCGTAATTCATTTTATTTCAGTTTTTTGTCCATATTTATGAATACATTTAATCAATACATCAAAGAATATTTTTTTCATAATTATTTAATTCAATTAATACACAAATTGTCAAGCTGCAAACAATCTCATGAACTTCTCCAGTACCGCAGACTGAGGTCTTTTGACAATCATCTTAAAAACTCCTTGAATTAAATTTGAATTTTATTATCACTCATAAGTAAGGTTTTTTTGCAATTACAAAAAACCTTTACTTTTTTTTGTTATTAACATTTTTCCCTTAATAAATTTCTTTTATATTAAAATATGATTTAGAAAATTTCATAAATGTATTATACGTTTCGTTAGAAAATAGGGATAATACGAATTTTCTTATATTATTCGTACTACGTTTGAAAAGGAGAGATTACGGGCACCGAATGCTTTGTAACCCTCCGTCTATTTGATGCTTCAACTGTCCGCGAACCTTCTTTGTATCATGCTCCTATGAAAAACCATTGATATGTGATAAGAAACCGAGCTAAAATTACAATGAAACATTTCTATTCTAACACAAAGGTTTTTTTTTTGTCCATTTATTTTTTATTTCTGTTCATAGCATTGACTTATACATCTGTTTGTATGTATCTATACAAAGAAACCTATAATGTTATTGCTTTCATATTAAACTGAAATTTGATGCGAGGTTACTTATTGCATGAATAGCTGACGCACTCCAGTTCTTCCAGACTATGTTCTACATCTATGCCAAATTACAACAACCGTTCCACTTAATTTATTTTGTTCAAAAGAAAAAAAAGCAATATACATTTAAACGTGTACATTTATGTTATCTGTGTTCTTCTAATTGAATGACCGTCTCATATGTTTAGACATTCCCGTACTTGTAATTTATTTGTCTTATCTAGCGGCTTTATTTCCACGGACCGACGACCGCTGTCTCATAGATAATAAGGTTATTCAATTAATTTGGTGGAACGGCTCAATCCAGTCATCGTAAGCTCTCACTCGTCTTGCTCGTAAATATTTAATTAACTGTATAAAATATACACTTAATAAACACTGGAGATATAATTATCATTCGGTATGATTAGGTTGTATGCTTAAAAACTTACCATAGAGTAATTAACTTTTAGACATATCCCGGGGAAAATAATTTAAAAATAAAATTTCTAAATGTAATTTCAACAGCTATACTTTATTTTGACTCCAATAAATAATTTGTTTATGTTTGGATATTACTCAGTCAATTAAGTCACCATATTTCTACCTCAAAAAAGTTTCAGGCCTTGTTTAAAGCGCGAACTTAAGTAATTAACGCGAATTAAAAAAACGAACTTCTCTACTTTACATATTATTTCAAGCTGTTTGTCAAACAACGATCGAATTTGTTCTAATCGCTGCAATAGTTATTTACGACCTACACTTTGGAAACTTGACGGCTCTTAATAGCTCGGGCAAAGTTAATCAAGTTCTGTTTGAGTTACAAACTCTTACTCAAGTCCGAGTTTAAGCCTTCGATTGAATCTATTCACTCGGGGTCGCATTTATGACAGCTAGCGATTAGAAAAGTTTAAGGCTGCAATTTGTGTTTTATGCTGTTTCAAGTAATGAAAAATTGCCCTTTCTAATAAGCTAAAGCTTTATTTTTGTTGTTTCTTAATTATACTTTTATACCTTTAGTAATAAATTTTGTTACCAATTGAAATAATCCAGAATAATGCCCACATACGATCCAGTCAAAGTTGAACTGAACAAAAGCAATTTTCGACAATATATCAATTTGTAGCGGATCGCTTCATTGAGCAATTAAATCCGCTAGTCTAATTTTATTGGCTTACACTTTAAATAAACGTGTATCATCTAGGTCACGTAGGCGCATGGGCACTAGGAGCGTCGGGTGGTACTCTGGCATTGCTGGCGTTGGCCGCACTGGCGCTGTACCGCGGTTGGCGATACGAGCAGGAGCTGGACTCTCTACTATGGAAGATTGACTTTCGTGACCTCCACCTACCCGATGACGAACAAACTGACAACAAACTGAGTAGGTAAACGGAACTTCTCTATGTTGTTTGCATGAGTTCGTAGAAATGGTTTACTAGTCATTCAAAGTGCTTGTTTAATATTGCTATTTTCTTGCATTTATTTGTGATACAGAACTGTATGTTACTTGTTCTAATGTACTGTAATTCTTATGTTCAAATATCGAATGTACCTATAAAGTTGTTCAGAACTGATGTTTTCCAGCAAGATAGCAATGCTGCCGTGAACAACAATTCGTCCAACAACATGATCGGGAGCTGTGAGAAGGGCGGAGGTGGTGGTGGGGGCGGGGGCAGCACTGGGGGTGCGCGTTCCAGCCAGGTCTCGCTCAGCTCCAACCCCGATCTGGACTTCCGTTACTCCGCCATCTTCACCGAGGTCGCCTTCTATCGCGGCCGTCTGCTCGCCGTCAAGCGTGTGCGCAGGCAGCACATCGATATTAACAGAGAAATTAAGAAAGAACTTAAAATTGTAAGTATTTAGTATGTCATGTGGCTAAAATATCTGAAGGCCTATAAAACCTTATAAACTAATCCCACGTGAGAATGATAAGGCCAGGAAGATGTAGAGGATTTCAACACAACACGTGCCTGTATTTTGTTAAATGTGGATAATAATTTTAGGATCTTTAATATCCACAAAAATACTTCTCTAATGAATTCGCATGTTACAAAACACCCGCTATTAGTCCATAATGACTGCGCATACAGTTAAGCTTTATGGAAATATCCCCTTTTCTATTACGCTTTAAGAATAAAGACGAATGATTGATGTGTAAAGCCTATTACGCGGTCGATAGGGAACATTTACTTAAGCTGAAATATGAACTGTACGTGCATTATGTGTGGGAAGCGCGTACCTAAGCCTCTTAGCAAAATCAAATACCTTATCAGGGCCCCGCAAGCCGCAAAACAAACAAAATTTCCTCCCGAATACCCGGGAATGTGCCGACGTATTATAAATCACTTTCATTTATTTCACTTTGAATAATTGTCTGTGTGATTGAAATGTACCACGGAGCTCGGCGTTTCTATTTATATGAATATACTAAGGTTTATTGCTGGCTTCATCTTAATGGGATCGTTCATATCAGCCACATTGTATTATGTAAAATGTAAGAAGTCCGATCTTTCCGATGCATATTCTATTGGTAATTTTAAATACTTACGCGACGAAAGCTGTTGATCTTCTCTCTTCTTCTGTTATCAAATGATATATCATCCCCCTACATGCATTAATGGTTTTATTGGTGATCGTATCTTTACTGTGTTTTCATTAAATAACATATAGAATCTTTCGAAGGGACATAAAATGAATTCATGGTAAGAGGATTACATTTCTCAGCGTGCCATTGCTAACACGCTTCGTCAAATTAATGAGATTTGAAATAATACGAAATATTATATTATAATATTTTGGTATAAGTTATTAAATTATAGCTAATGAGGGATCGTATTTATTGCAGTAGAATTGGTCAGTAAAAATTATAATACCGTTGAATAGTACGAACTAGCAAATTGGCAAGAAAAATGACTTTTTCCATGCAAGTGTTATTCACGTTTTCGGCTTTTTTTTTCAATAGTTACATCATTTTTAATCTAAAAAATAATCTTCTTCATAGCTTCATTTTGCTCCTAGTACTAGCGTCCAAATAATTTCAGTCGTATTTTCCAACAAAGCCCCGTTAGATAAATAAAATAACGTCTCAATTTAGACCGCAATTCACTTTCTCTGACTAAAATATCTCTTAATAGAAGACAAATGTTTATTCCACTTGATAACACAAATTGAAAGCAAAAAGTACTCCGACGTTTACGCGAACATTTCCACTGTTTACACATAATTACTTAAATAAATTTTGCCCATAGTGTTTACTTATGTTTACTGTGTTATTTATTTATGATTGAGATTGTTTAGTAATTTAATTAAATAATAAAATCACACTATCTTAAGTGTATTAGAACATATATATGCTTACCCAAACTCACATAATGAAGTTTGCAATACTTTCTTATTAAGCTGTTTTCGAAAAAAGTTTTTTTTTTAAATGCACGTGAAAAATCTACTTGAACTATCTTGGAATAGTCTAACTAGAGGTTAGGCTATATCTCTGGATCGCGAACTTTTAAAGAGCACTGTAAATAAAGTTGATTTGCTCAGCTGCAAGTAACTTAGTACTTGTTTGTTCAAATCAAACTCCAGTTCAAACCTCTTTTCAGTTTTATAGTTGTAATAGTACGTCAGTACTATAAGACTTAAAGTTTCATGGCGTCATATTACAATAAACTCTTTTAAATTCATTTAAGTAATTGCAAATTATTGGAAAATGTTATATGATTTTTTTTATAAATCAGCATTTTATGGCGTGTATTCTTTTACATTTTTCCCTCTTTATTATTAACTGACAAGGGATTTTATAGACTTTGATGAATGTTCTCAAAAAACATGCGTGATTGATCGAAGACTGTACACCTCTATGTAATAATCGAGAATGATTCGCTTATTTTGGGTTATTTATATATTGTTACAAGTGCCTTAGGTACAAAATAACAAATAATTTAAAGGCTAAATATGTTTTTACCAGCCTGTTTCGTTTGTCATGGTGTACGCGTTGTAAATTGCCAATAGGGTAAATTATTAGCGTGACGATGTATATATTTTCAATACAAAGCAGAGTTTTAACATATTATTTGTTTGAAAAAGTATTCGTTACCATTCCATGTGATTAAGGCAGTATCGTATTCATCAAACAATCTTATCTTACTAATACTGTTTATTAGGAGCTATCTCCAGAACGGCTGCATGGATCTTGGTTGAAATTTGCCATAGATGTAGAACATATTCTGGAAGAAGACATAGACTACTGTTGAACTTTTTTTTTTAATTCCGCGCAGATGTTCTCGCGGGCAAAAATTAGTAATTATCTGTTTTATAGATGCGGGACTTGCAACACGACAATCTGAACGGTTTCGTCGGCGCGTGCATCGAGCCGCCGAACATTTGCTCTCTTTCTGAATATTGTACCAGGGGAAGCTTGAAAGTAAGCTTAACGTAATAATAATCTTATTGTTAGTATTATTTATGAAATTTAATAAATTTAAATTATTATAAATAAATTGCAATTTTTTCCTTGTTTCCTTTATTTCTATTTGTTATTTCATTTTTGTTTATTTTATTCTAATTTGTATATTTGTCGTTTTAAAATAAAACAACGTTTTTAATAAGTTAAATAGTACAGTTGAGGGTAAACAACAATTTATTCTTTTCCCTATATAATTAAATAGTGTTGTTATTGTCTCATGTTACTTTACATCTTCAAGGATATCTTAGAAAATGAGGACATCAAGTTGGACAACATGTTTATCGCGTCGCTCGTTGGAGATATAATCAGGGTAACTACCAAGAACTTAACTAACTTCAACCGCAACTTAAAGCTTTCTAATGAATATGACAATTTTATTGATAAAGGTTTATTTGAACCACATTTGTGACTTCATTTTGTTTATTTTATTTTAATAAAGTTACTAATAGCTTCTAGCTTCAACTATTTGTAAAATCGTAGTACATGAACCGACTAACTGTAAATTTTTAACAACGTCTTTGAGAAAAATATAAAATAGCTTGTATGAATATAACCTGATGTTTAAAGGGCATGATATTTATCCACGAATCTCCGCTGCAATATCACGGTGCTCTGCGACCCTCAAACTGCCTCGTTGACGCGCGCTGGGTTGTCAAGCTGGCGGACTTCGGACTCCGGGAATTTAGGAGAGGGGAACTACCGCCCTCGGAACCTGGTGCACTTCGAGCACATATTGAAGGTATTATGATGAACATGATGAAAAAATTCAATCAATGGAAGACGCCGTTGGATTGTTGGAAAAAGTACTAGTGGTCCGTAACGTAAAAAAAGTCTTCCGCACGTCAGACGGGCAATGTATTTTTTCTAAAGTTGATTGATGCTGTTCAGACAAGTGCAAAGCTTTTGGGTTTAAACAGATATTTAAATGTCATGTAGATTACAAAAGTACCAGGAACCCATAACATAGTAGAAGACGTGCAGGTCTGCTGTATTTGTCGCCCGAGCTGCTCCGCGCTGCGGGCTGGGGGCGAGGCGGGGTGGGAGGTGCGCGGGGCTCCCCGCAGGCGGACGCGTACGCTTTCGGTCTACTGCTGTATGAACTCCACGCACGTCGCGGCCCCTTCGGCAGCGACGCGCCGCCCGCGCCCTCGCTGCTCCGCCGCCTCGCCGCGCAGGAGACGCCGCCATTCAGGTAGGTATGTGTCTTTACGGATACATACATACAACTCTATCACAATCGAACATATTTACTATCATATCGTAGAACCAGGTATAGTAATTGTTGAAATATTGAGGCAGCTAAAACGGCGAAAAACCCATTACTTTTTATAGAAACAGCGTGATGGATTTTTGCGTGTCGAATAAAAAATTTAATAAGTACAAAAATTACTATGTTCTCTCGTGTTTATCTGTGCTTATTCCATCCTAAAAATATGTTTTTCAGTATAGTAAATGTGTAAACTGATATATTAATTTCCTAAAACCATTCCAAGAGGAGGTCGACATTTGTGTCATTAAAGTGGCTACGACAGTCACGTATTACGAGTAGTATAATAACCCAGCACATTAAATACCAATTCATGAATGTGTTAAATAGAAAATATTAATATATTTTCATTTTTCACATCTAAAATAGCTCCACTACATTTTTAGTCCAATGAATATTATGTTGGAATACAAATATGCAGTATCAAAATGTGTTTAATCCATAGTTCATTTGTCTTATATGATCGATAAATGGAAAGCTCAAGTGTTTTCTGGATATTGTGTGCAGACCTCCACTGGATGCCTTGTCGGGTCGATTTGACTGCGTGCGCGAGTGCTGCACCGAGTGCTGGGCGGAGGAGCCCTCGCTGCGGCCAGACTTCAAGGCCATCCGCGCCCGTCTGCGCCCGCTCAGGAAAGGCATGTACGTACTAAATCTCTATACTAATATTATAAAGTATTTCAGTATTAAACTTTTCAACTAGCTAGCAGTTGCATCAGACAGGGTCTAACTTTATTGAAACAGTTCGAAAGGTTACAAAAAACTCTCAAGCCCTGCTAAAGCTCCTAATAAATACCCGGAAAACCGTTTTCAATTGTGAAATAGAGTCGCTATTTTTAATAGGTAGGAGTTCCCGGTACACACCTTACTAAAAGTCATAACTAGAGCGTAAAGATCAGTCACCGTAACTCCTGTTTGTATTGACTTGACCTTTTATTAGGTAACCGAAATTGTGATGACAAAAAATAATGTAACTTAATTTTCTTTGAGTTTGATAATGATTAATTAAAAAATTATTACCTTCCTAATGACTTTATCCCTTTTATAAATATTTTAGGAAACCAAATATATTTGATAATATGATTGCAATGATGGAGAAATATGCGAACAACCTGGAGGCACTCGTAGACGAACGCACGGACCAGCTGCAGGAGGAGAAAAAGAAAACCGGTGAGAATAAGTATTTGGTACTTGGTAAAATCAATTATCGAATATTGATTTCATCGGTCAGTTAACTTATCGTTTATGTTTAGAGGCGTTGCTGGAGGAGATGCTGCCGGCGCCGGTGGCGGAGCAGCTGAAGCGCGGCCGCCGTGTCATGCCCGAGAGTTACGACTCTGTGACGATATACTTCAGTGACATTGTCGGCTTCACCGCCATGTCTGCGGAGAGCACGCCGCTGCAGGTATTTACAAAAAAAATCCAACACCGTATCTTTATATAATAATTGATCCGTTTTTATCTTGATGTTAAAAAGCTTTGTGTATCATGTCGTTATTAATACGTGATCGTTATTTGCAGGTAGTGGATTTCCTAAATGATCTGTACACGTGTTTTGACTCGATATTAGAAAATTTCGACGTCTACAAAGTGGAAACAATAGGGGATGCGTACATGGTGGTACGTATTTTTTTATGAACACATCCTTACGTATTTTCATATAGGTAATCACGTTAGTGTAAGATGTATGTAACATACTGCAGGTGTCGGGGCTGCCGCTGCGAAATGGCATAGCGCACGCGGGCGAGGTCGCCTCGATGGCGCTGGCGCTGCTGGCGGCCACGCGCGCCTTCCGCGTGCGGCACCGCCCCGACCAGCGCCTTCTTCTGCGTGTCGGCATGCACTCCGGTATACGCGCAATGTTATTTCTGTCTTCTGATTCAACTCACACTAACATAAAATTCGTAGCTCACAGCTCATCTTGATGTGACTACAAGTCTTTTACAGATTATGTGAGTCCACGAGCCGCGAGCTGCCTGCTGCCTAGCCGGCTTTTGAATTATCGGCCAATTTCGTGTAGGAACTATTCGGCCTACCAGAGACCGTTGGAGCACGATGTTGTTCTTATACTAGTGTATTATTAACATAAGTGTGTTTAAAATTATTTCAGGTCCTGTGTGCGCCGGTGTGGTGGGCTTGAAGATGCCCCGGTACTGTCTGTTCGGCGATACAGTCAACACTGCCAGTCGATTTGAGTCCACCGGAGCACGTGAGTTTATTTATTTAGCTAGTTATTTTCACCTACATTCCCCAGAGGAATTCTGTATTACAATTGCGACAGACGGAGATTACAGTGGCAGTATTATATTATGTAGAGACAAGTTTTAAATGGACGTTTCATTTGTATTCCAGCGCTGAAGATCCACTGCAGCGCGGCCTGCAAAACACTGCTGGACAAGCTGGGCGGCTACATCCTCGAGGAGCGCGGCATCGTCTCCATGAAAGGCAAACGAGACCAGGTAATAATCGTTGATAACAAGAGCTCCAAAAATATGGCATTTGAAGTTACCCTATTAAACTTTTCTCCAATCACAAATATTCTAAGTAGAAAAGTGGTCAATACTTGTGTGTAATTTTTCCTCAGATGACGTACTGGCTGCGGGGCGAGGAGGCGGGGGCGGCGGCGGAGCGCGCGCGGCGCCGCTCACTGCGGGCACACGCCGCACACGCAGCGCACGTCGCGCACGCCGCACACACCGGCGGGGACGCGCCGCCCGCAGACCGCCGCGGACAGCGCAGCTCACTCAAAACACGTAACTGGAAGAACCAGCTCGGCGGACTGCATAGGTAACCCTTACCTCTGCAGTGTGTATTAAAGCTAATATAATAAGAATAAGGTTTTATGCTAGGAATTTAAAAATAGAAATAATTAATAACGGAGTCATGTACTTTGTTTCAGATGTTGCAGCTTGGAATCTCCAAAGAAGTTACGGTTTGCATCCGGCAACCATTTAGAATCTCACACGGACAGCGTGCTACATCACAGAAGCGACGAGTACCTCATGGAGGTTCTAATATTTTTCATCTTTGTTCTTCTCTACCTAATTGGCTTTGTTAAATGACTATTCCAATTAATCGGTTAGAGGTTTTTGGTCGTTAGGCTTTTGTAACTTTCGTTATAAACGTAGGTGGTGGGCGAGGGTCGTCCGGCATCGCAGCGCAGCGACCTGCTGGAGGCGCCGAGCTTGCGGCAGGAGTACACGAGCGTGTCCTGCCCCATTATCGAGCACGTGGAGTCCAGCCCGGTAGTGCCGCTCGGCGAGCAGCCCGACAACAAGCTCGTCACACCGCTCGACAAGCTCGGCGAGCATCTGTCCGCGCCCGCCGACACCGCCTGCGACATTCGCTTCGTTGTCAACGGCTGTAGTTACGAGAGCGACGCCGCCGCCATTCCATTACTAGCTGATGCATGAATGTGTCAATAGGTGCCTCCACGAGCGTCTTTCTTGTCAATCTACTTATGCAAAATTCTAAATGACTTCTGAGAACGAAATAAATGTACTTACTACAATTATTATAATAGTTTTTATGTAGCAATGTATATCAAGAAATTCGTTCGTGGAGAGATATTTAATTGTAATTTATCAGTATCCCTAGTCAATAGCCTCCAGTAGACTCGTCGCGATGTCGTTTCCTATATATTCTGCTCCGTTACAACTGGATGTGACTCGCCGTGTTAGCTAATTTAACCATGACTATTTGATGTTTTCATTGTTAGAAATTATGTAGTTTTTAAGATTGCCGAGCTCTCACTATATCTACTTTTCAAACAAGATATGCAAAATTTTATATCCACGCACTATGGTTTTGTGTCGCAATGTGTACTAAACCATGTGAATGTCTTGTATCACTCCATTGTTCATTAAATTAAAATAGTATGTATATGTAACGAGCGCTACATTAGTATGATGGAGTCTATTAACTACCAGTTCACAATAACATGACACCTAAATCAAAAACCTCACCCAACCCCCATTTCTCGGGGGTATCATGTTATTGTTGACGGGTATTACGAGTGAGACGCTCGTGACGTCACGCGGCCGGCAGTAATGTGATCTATGTCAGTATTATTAAGAGAACTTGTTCAATAGAAATTATTTAATAACATTAAACTCTTAATTCACAATTTACGGTAACATCGTTTTACTTACACATATTATTTACAACAGCATTTCATATACATATAATTCTAATATACATTTAAATGATTCGAGTGCAGGATTTATAGATAGACTAGTTCTCCCCCACATATCATGTCAATTCATTTAACAATATAATAGTACAGTACAAGACTGTAGCATACATCCATTGAACTTTCTAATACTATCCATATAATTATACACTTATACAAGACAACAAAAACATCTATATAATAGTATTTATTGGATCTACCAAAGTATTGAATAGAAATCAAAATAAAAATATACACTGAAGCAGTCACAATAAGACACTTGTGAACTAATATAGAATATCTGTTATAATAATTTGGGAAACAGTACGCCGCTGATTTGTGGCAGATTTACACAGGCAAGACTAACAAAAAATATTCTAATACAACTTTTATACCGTATCTTTAGAATAGACTGGAAAATTTAATACAAAACAAATCTACAAAATAAAATAATTAGCCTTGGGTAAGTTTAGGAGATTATACAGGTCAGTGGCAGATCTAGCTACGAGTTGAAGAGAAGTCGCGCGCCCTACGAGTAGAAGACATTGATTTACAACAGAATTACCCACTGCCCGAGATGTAATATTACAAAGATACGTAGAACACAAACTGTTACGACTATTTCATTTTCCTTTGCTTTAAATTACGTCACGTCGCACTTAAACATTTGTATTACACTTGGAGGGGGGTTTGTAGACGTGGTGCAGGGGGCGGAGGGCGAGGCGGCTAGACTGCAGATTCGCGGTCGAGCAGCGGTGGCGCGCGACGCAGGGAGGCGCTGCTGCTACGCGTGCCGCTGAAGATGCCCAGCAGCCAGGAGCGGATGGCGAAACGAGGCAACTTGCGCGCCTCGCCCTTCACGTCAGCCATGTTCTCCAGCGACCGCCATTTCTTGTAGAACTCGATGTAGTTTGCGTCATGCACTTTGCGCTTGGGCCGCTCCAGCTTGTTGTGCAGGCTGCTCTTGCGCAGCAGGGGACTGTCCTCGCCCGTCTTCGGCGGATCATCGGTCACGATCCCGATTATAGTTCCGTTGAAGAGCGGGCCGGACACCGTGGAGATGGCGACGTCGGCATCGAGCGAGCGCGTGGTGTGTCCGCGGCGCAGGCGAGCATCCCGGCGCGGCGCCAGCAGGTCCAGGGAGTGCGCGCCGCGCAGCGACACCGCCCCGCCGCCGCCGCCCACACCCACCGACGTCTCCGAGATGCCGTCCGTCTCGCACGCCGTGGACGACGCTATCGAACTGAGTGCGTGTCTGTAAACAACATTTTATATCCGTCTTACAATGCAAGGATAAGTAAATTTCTCGTGCGAAACCTGAAAGCAATAGAGGATAATGGCGCACAAATTATACAATATTGTTTAAATGATTCACACAATAAGTCAATAACACAAAATCTTCTCGGCAAACAATGTCGCATTCCTTGACAACTGAGTATGTGCAGTTCGAACGCAACAAGCAAGCACATGCCCACTTGCCTCTAGAGTTTTCTTGAGGTAATTAAAGTTGTATAAGTCAAGGGCGCGCCTAGTAGGAAACAATGTGTGCGAGAGGCGGCGGCGCCCCGGGTCGCAGCTCCCGCAGACAGCTCACAGAACTAAAGAGGCGAACAACGTACTGAAACTAATAACTTTCCACTATACGACTGAATCGAATTCTAAATAACTTAAGTTTCAGGTTTTGTTTATTTGTTGAATGCCTCTTAATGGCTATTAAACAGAATGTCATCTAACCTGGCGCGTGCCGCGTGGTCGAGGCGGTCGGTGCGCGCGCGGCGCGGAGCGGGCGAGGCGGGCGCGGGCAGGGCGGGGGGCGCGGCGGGCAGGGAGGCGCCGCTGTGCAGCCGCTGCCGCACGCCGCTCATCGCCCATCCCGCATCATTTTTCAGTTCTATATCAAGAAATTTCAATATTATTGCACACTAGAGGTGTAGGAAAAACTATGGAATGAAAAGAAGCTCCTTTTAATTTTTTTCATTAATTTAAATATAACAAATGAGTTAAAGAAACGAGCACATTTTTAGGGAATCTATAGTTACGCACCTGACAAAGAAGGGTGCCTGGAGTCCGTCAGTCGCGGACTCCTGCGCGGTCGCCGGAACAGCGGCCGCTCCTCGCCCTCTACAGGCCTCTTTTGTATCGCCTTCTCTGTCGCACCGACTAGCCAATATGTTTGCAACTGAAACCATTCAAAAAGTAAACTTTAATTACTGAATTTTGCTGTGATAACATTTTTACACAAATATTTCATTTAACTATGGTTGAGTTCTGAAAAGTACTTTTGTGTCTCGAAGGTTATTAGGTTAATAGGTGAGAGATTAGAATTACCTGCCCTTTCCCTTTGATGGGTATAGTTCCCCTGGGCTCGACGAGATATCCGCCGATCTTGTCGAGCGCGAGCTTGCAGCTGGGCGAGATGTGTATGCGCAGCGGCTCGCCGTTGGACTCCATACGCGAGGCGGTGTTCACCGTGTCCCCGAACAGGCAGTAGCGCGGCATCGTCAGACCCACCACGCCCGCCACCACCGCACCTACACATCAACAAAACTATATAATGTCATGATGTTAATGTCAACTAAATGATAACAGCTCACTAGCGCCAAAAATGTCACAATATTCTCTCACAGTCTCAACCTTGTTTGACTACACATCACGTTAGGATTCATCACGTCATGTCAATCAGTAATAACGTCAGTCCCTTCCCATCACGTCACGTCGCGGACAAAAGTTAGTTGTTTTGAAATTTGTAAAATTTCCAAATTGATGTTTATACCCGTATGTATGCCTATTCTCAGTTTGAGTGTTTCGTTGGGTCTGTGCGCGATCTTGTGCGTCTTGACTGCGTTGAGCAGCTCCAGCGCCATTGACGCGATCTCACCCACGTGACGATCGTTGTTACGGATCGGCAGACCTGACACCTGCAACACATAACAAAACCATCTTAGTTTACATATAATTAAAAAAAATACAATAATAGCGAAAGAAAAAATCCTGTCGTTTACATCAAAGTTCAGTAGTACATCTTATAAGTTATAGAGAGTTTAGAAAAAAAATAGCGTAAAATTAAACTCACCACCATGTAAGCGTCTCCTATAGTTTCTACTTTGTACACGTCGTAGCCTCTTATAATCCTATCGAACACCGTGTACAGGTCGTTGAGAAAGTTGACGACCTGCAGCGGCGTGCTCTCCGCAGACATGGCGGTGAAGCCGACAATATCACTGAAGTATATCGTCACAGAGTCAAAAGACTCCGGCTCCACTCCCTCGCCGGTCGTCAGCCGCCGCGCCACAGACCTAAAACAATATAGACATGTCATAATATATTTTTTATTCAATTTTCATAATTAACTACTGCTTAACGCATTTCAAATATATATCTAAAAATTCGTTTTACTAATTACCATGCTCAACTAGACCACTACCTCTAATTACAGTAAATATAATAAATACTTTGTTTATTGATTTTGTAAAATATATTACATTTTATAAAGTATATTTTAAGTTATTTATCGTGTTAAATAATGCCTTATAATGTGGTAAAAATAAAAATGGTCTAAACTTTAAAAAAAAACATCTCAAATCGTATGTTAATTGAGGTAACCGTTAAATTTAAAATGT